TATTCGTAGTCCAGCCCAGCTAACGAGAGATTATCCGCGCATAATCGGATAATTAATTTAAAAAAATTTGCATCGCCGCGTAAGAAGGAAAATACTTGACGCGACGGCTTCATTTCCAAGTCTGCGACTCGAAGAAATTATCTCGACGGTTAATACATCGCGTTAATGAACGCAATAAGCTCGACATCGGAATCGCGCAAAGGTATATATAAATGCAAGGCGATTTTAATCCTTTCACGGATATCTGCGCAGTGCGTTCCGCTCAAAGGACTGGAAAGTATAAATAATATCAAATTATTGGAATATTTATCGCCCCCCCAAGATAAACGCTAATATTACATTTTTGTGTCGATAAACATTCAATAATAATAATCATAATTTTAGATATATAATATATTAATGATCTCTATTTCAAGTCTATCGTAAAACACTTCCAAAAATTCAATCGTCGTGTACTACAAATTGATCAAAAATCCTTTTCCTTTCATTAACCAAAATTAAAGAGAAAAAGAAAAAAAGAAGAGGGTGGGAGATTGAACAAATTTCTCTACGGGGGATAACGTCAGTCGAATAAAAGCTATACCGCCTTCGGGTCAACGTGGCACAGATTCGCGCTTTAGCGGAGGCGGAGCGGAATGCACGAAGCGGAACGATAGAAAAAAAAAAAAAAAAAAAAAAGAGAGAGAGAGAGATGGTTTTACGCGTTCGTATATGTGAAAACGCGCGTGAAAATACACGTAGACGAAGAAACGCGAGCGCGCGCACCCACATATAGACGAGCGGGACGTTGATGTTGGTCGATCAATATACCACGCTGGTAGAAGCGAGATGAGAGGAGGAAGCTGAAGAGAGCACGAGGTAGGAGTGAGGGAGGAGGCATTGTTAAAGCCACGGACACGCTGGACATAAGCTGAATATTTGCATCGAGCGCGACCCAGAAAGTCGCGTGACCGTGTTGGAGATTTCCTTCCTCGATCCACCTTGCCCTCCGAATCAGAGATTATATATCGTTCCATCCGATGTAAGGCTAATTGAGCCTTTTATATAACGGCGAGTAGCTCGCTACCTGCATCTTTTTCCACAACATTTGTTTAATATATATATTTTCGCGAACATGTCTACACTTTGATATAATCATATAAATAGGCTCTAATTTGTGAAGATCCTCGGATAGGTTTTAATCTTTTTCTCTATGTTTTTCTTCGTCCTACAGATTAAAAGCCATTTTCCTTCTGTCTCTTTTCAGCTGGAAATATTTTGTAACGATTTAAAAATAATTTTCCAAGATTTCACGACATTCATAGCTTCCTTTATCGTCGAGTCTTGGTTGCAATTTTGCAGCAATAAGGATCGCACGACACGCCGAAGCGATATTTTTATCTAAACGGCTATCGATTATCTCGCAATAATAGGCGGACAGATTTCTCGAGCGGATTAATTCGATGACGTATCGTTGCATGAATCTAATCGGATTTTTTGGAAATGTGTCATTCCCGTACTTTTGACCCGTCAAATTGGCTGATCCGTTTTACATCGTCGCGAATCTTCAAAGATAGATCGCGGATCAAGGGCACCTTTTCTTCCTCCGCAAGGTGATCCTCCTCTTTGTAGAAACGAGTATCTTTGTCGAGCCTTCTCTCTCGACTCCGGAAGAATGCGCATAAGGGTTATCGACCTGTCGCGAGATTTCATCCCCTCCTTTCCTCCTCAAAGGTCCTCGCTCCGTTTTCGTCTCGTTACGTAATAAGCAAAAGACAGAGGAAAAACGAGGAAAAAAATACAGAGAGAAATGGAAGAAAACGGGATGCAAAAAGTGTCGAGACGAGAGAAAAGAAAGTAGGCGAGAGACTGTTTTTTTTTTTTTTATTTTAGAATGTCGAAAGGAAGACAAACACCAGGCGTAAGCAAACATCTCGAGGATTTCCCTCGTTGTACCAATTAAAAAAGAAAAAATAATGGAAATCGCGCTTGCACGCGATCGTATAAATTTCCCGGCTCCTCGAGAGAGGCTGTTCAACGAAACAGGTCACTGTATTAGAAATTTGCCATGAACATGATCTTTATATATTATGCCGTATGCCGTAAAGCTCGTTAAAGGAATCTCTCGAGGATCCCAATTTCCCTCTGTTCTTTCCCACGCTCTTGCTCTCGTCCTCATTCTCGTGTCGTTTAGCAAGAATTCGTTTCGGTCGCGATTTCTTTCAGAGAGATCAGAGTTAAGAGTCGTGTGTAATATATACATAGCGACGAATAACTCCGGCTGTAGAGAATAGCGGACGTTTAGTCGGCGCTAAAACGCGTGTGTGCACGCGTGAAAAGGAAGGGCGTGAACCAAAGCGCAGGGTCAATGGTCCTCATTACACGTGTATCTCTGTTTAAGAGGCACAAAGAACGGAACGAACGATCGACGCAACTCTCACGATGCCGATCATCGAGAGAAGGGAGAAGAAGAGTTCGCCCGTGAAGCGTAACCCCATGACCGCCGATCCTTATTAAAGCCACCTTCCTCTTAGGTCACATACGAGAAAGTGCGCCCTGTATTAGTTCAGTCCGAGTAGCTGGCGTGTTCAATTTAAACAAATTTATTCTATCAAGGGGATGCTGCCGCAGTTCTGTTTTACCGACTTTAACGTTAGATTAGGTTCACTTTTTATTGAATATACAGATAGAAAAATCCTCCACAATAAAAGTAAAAGCGCCATCCGGCAACTAATTTTTGCTGTTTTATGCCTCGACATCGATTCCGCATGCAGATACACATACATAATTAATTCAAGTACGAATTTTTGGATACTGGCTTTTAATCTTTTTATTACTTCATTGTTCTTTCGTGTCAGCTCTATTGGGAACGCCACATTTTGTGCACAAATAAACCGCGGAACTTTTGTATTAAATATAAGTATTGTTATAAGCTGATGCGAGAGCTGATGCACGATAAAAAACTGTAATTTTTTAACTTTTGTTTTTTTTTACACGAGTTTACAGCGCTCCGCGTTCATTATTATCAGCACTTTAATTGTGGAAAAGGATTTTTCAATCTGTGTAGTCCATAAAAAGAAAAGCCCTTGAATTCAAAGTCGGTAAAACAGTCATGGTCAGCATTCCCTTAATTTGCGCGTTTAAAAACAAGTGGATTTTATATTTCAAAGATTATTTTTCACGAATACACAGAGTGTGATTCTTTTTCAAACCATTACACGCATTGGAAAAACGCGTCCTTCGATATCCAAAAGGTTAAGTGGTCAATCATTTATTTAGTATAATGTCAAAGTTTGTCCACGTCCATTACGCGGTTCGGACAGATGGGAAATGAAAAATCGATTCTCCGGTCCCATCCTAGCGAGTTTCAGACCAGGACAAGATTGCGGCAGCGGCAATAATTATGTTACGTGTACCACGCGCGGGATCGATGTCTCTATCTTTCGCAGACGTGTAACAGAGCCGTCAACTGCCGGGAAATATACCGGAGAGAAAGCAGGACGAAGAGCAGGAGAGAGAGTCTCTCTATCCAACAAGTTCTCGCTACAGCTGTATCGCGATAACTTTGTGACATTGTGCAAAAGTCTCGAAATCGTGTCACGCGAGATAATAATTTCACGAGACAGAGTTATATCACCTGGAAATTCGAAAGAAAGTCCTAGAACTTTTTTAGGACCTTTCGGTAGCTTTTACTCGCGTAAATAAAACAGTGGAAAAAATTCAGGCTTCTCTCTCGACGAGCAAAGACCGTGAAATCGCGCGATCGAAGAGTTGCGAAATATTTGACGACGGAAAGTGAAAATGATATAATACTGCGTCACGAGCGCAATTTCCCGTAACGAAATGATCGGTTTCCAAAAGAGGGAAACTACGCCAATGCGGAAGAAAGATTCTACGACACTCGTCGTCGCGCGCCTAATCGCGGAAGGAGCCTCTATCGATCCTCGCCGCAACGTATACTTAGACGACAAGCCGACCGAGAGGAAGGTGTATCGGCGAGATTCGCTTCGGGAACTGATCCGGGAAAATCCAATTTAGTTAACCTGTCGATTCGGGGCGAGATTATATAGAGCGGCGGTTTCCAGGACCGCGGTTGCACCGATTTGTCTTTGACATGAACTCGAAGATCGGTCTCGAGAAGTAAACGTAGACTTTGGACAAGACGCATTCGAGTTCATGCAAATTGAAGCAATATCAAAGTCGAGAGTCGATCGATTTATTTAATCACTCGACGACTGCTTTTCTTATTTCCTACTTATATTTAATATATCTTCGAAATCGACTTAAAGTCGCGCGGAAGAAAAATCATTTCCTAGGAATCTTTTAATCTCTAGAGAGAAATTCATCTTGAAACTTACATCACGTGCTCGATATATTGGTCGTAAACGGGAAGTCGTGTCGGATAAGCCGATGAGATCATTCGATGACATTGATACGCGCGTGACGCGGCGTTAATTAAATGAATGCTAATTTCTGACACGACAAGGCGAAGAACACGGGTTAATTAACACATCGATCAAAAACCCGTGTTGGTGTGAATCGCGGCAATGCAGATCGCGCACGTCCGCATAGGAACGATTCATTTTATTTAATTTCATCGATACCACTTTGTCCGAAAAATTTTTCATTTCATTCGCGGAAGCTCCAAACGATACAACATTATTCACAATTTCATTAACATTATCGCGCTTAATCATCACGGTTATTTTTAACGTTACGACGCGGCAGGACTCGACAAAACGCGAACATTCCTCCTCCCGACGAGCAAAGGCGATCCCTAATTTCCCCAATTTCACGAACGGACCTGATCGATTCGCACGAGATGGAGATCCAATGCTTGGATCTTTCCACTTCGCCTCTATCGATCCTCGCGGCGCTAGAGCCGCTAGAGCGGTCTCTCCTCAAGATCGGTCCTTCCTGGCTCTCCCACGGCGCATCGCGTGAACAAGATATATGGTCTCCAAGACGCATGGACAGGAGTTTAAACACCTTAGGGTGGAAAGGATTGTGATGTGGCTCACCTTGACAAAGTGCAGGTTCTCCTTGTCGAGGAGGAACTCCATGGACTTGTGGGGCCGCTGGTGGATGGCGGAGGTTGCGGCAGACGCGACGTCGTCGCGGGGACTCCTGTGCGAAACGCCGACGGGCGACTGGGGTACGTGGAGGGCGTGCTCGGGCCGCGGCCGCGGCGCCGCCGCCGAGGTGTGGTTGAGGTCGAGCAGGCTACGGGTCTTCTTACCATCGGCGCCGGCGGCGGCGGCGGCAGCGGCAGCTGCAGCAGCGCCGGCGGTACCAGCGGCGGGGATTGTAGAAGCAGCCTTGCTGTAGCACCTTGCCCCGTGGTGCTCGATCACCGGCTCGTCGAAATCGGTCTCGAGCAGGCCGACCGGACGCTCCTGGGCGGCCTGCATCGCACGGGCCTTCGCCATCTCGATCGCAGCCGGGTTACCGAGGTCCGTGGCGGCGCGTCGGCGCGACGCCGACGCCGACGCTCGCGTCGACGTACCCAGGGCGGCGACGCGAGGCGGTTGCGGCGGCAGGGGTGGCTTGCTGGATACTGGCGCCCTCCCGTTGCTGCTGAAACAGACAGAACCACTCTTCAGGGTGTTGCGTGAAAGCGGGTGCTTTGACCCGACGCGATGATCCCGGGACATCATAAAGACCCCGACTCTTGACAGATGGTGAACCGAAACCTACTGGCGTTCGAACGCGACCGAGGCCTCGCGACGTGCGCTCAGGATAATTGGATATCTAGCGGGTCTGACCTTAATATGACGTTTCGATGCGTCAGACCTGGAGATGCCTTAAGGGGATCCTAAACGTCGTCTTGGTTCATCGATGAAATATCGTTTATCAATGTTTTTCCAGGATCAAAGTACACGTGGAAACTAAGCGCGAACTTGCCGATTTTATGTTCAAAAAAATGAATAAGAGAAAAGACGTTTGATTGGTCTCTTCTTCATTTGGGTTCATCGCGATTAAAAGCACTTTTTCGACAATTCGCCGCGGCGGAAGGATAATTGCTTTATAAAGGATAATTGCTTCATTAGACTGACGCATTATCATCCGACCACGTTGAAAGCAAGTCACGTTACGTATACGAGGCTCGCAATAGCGTCGCAGTTTTGTTTCTTTCGCATCTCCGTTATAAGCCTGGTTAGTGGTACGTGAATGAGAGCACGGAGAGACGGTTTTTGTTCCATACGCGACGTTATTGTGACGCGATAATTGAAAATTGGCGTTCGAGCGTATTTTATGCTCTCGCGGTACATCATCGGTTTTCGATAACAGACAATTAGCGGTTGAGTGATGTGTACTGCTTTTACTATTCCCTTGACCGGAATCGGGGATATTAAACCCTTGCCGTGCGTTTAATCTCAATGTTACCGATATGTCGTTCTGGTGCGCGTGTATGGAAATAATGAGGAAAAAATTAATTTGTTAACAAGTGTGCATGTTAAAACACTATTTCTGCAATGTTAATTGCGGGTGAAAAATCGCGTCGCGATAAGAAAGATTTATACGCGAGATATTAAATTGCTCCGACTTTTGCTTTCTCCTTCCGATCAGGAAAGACAGTGGTCGCATTATTGAGTTTCCGAGTAGCGGTGGAATAGTATCGATAAAGGCACGACTATATATCTCGGCGAAGAGGACAGTCCACTAATGAGACACTTTTCATTCGCCATGAGCGCAAGTCTCTCCGATAAGGAACCGAACGCACAGTGAGCCACTATTGCGAGTTCCTCGAGACCTCGTTACATCGCGAATGAACATGGAGTCGCAATCTGTTATGAAGCTGTCGCGAAGCCGTAATCTGTTTCAGTTGATGATCTCTGACCGCGAGTTACGTGATTACGGAATAATCAACACCAAGTTTGTTTGGCCGAACGGATGATTAATGAGCTGTTACTATACACGTAATTTCAGTTTCCACGAATATTACGCGAAGTACTTGCATACAATGTATATAGAATGTCCCGAATTGAATCGCGCCTTCTTCCAACATTTCTTTGTCTATTTTCTCTTTCGGTGAAAATATGCGATAACACACTTATCCTTTTTACAATTTAACAAATTTTGTAAAATATCTCAATATACAGAGAGAATTTATCCTGAAAATCATGATAATCGTGGAATAAAAAATATCTACCACTTATAAGATATAAAATGTTCCATTCATTTTATTGTGCATACATATTAATATTCTTTTATTGTAATAAATATTCATTTAGAGAAACTTATCATGATTTTCGGGGTAAATTCGAAGAGAAAATTCCCTTCGATGCTTTAATTTGTCGCAAAATTAAAGTGTGCTACCGAAACGACTTTTTAAAATATAAAGTCACTGCTCGACCTAGAACTTTTTAAAACTTGTCAAGTCAAGACGAGACTCGTGCAAAGTTAGATGCAAATGAAATTACGGAAGCCACGTTCGGCTTCGCACGTGATCCGAAGACGACGACGACGCATTGCAGTATATACTACGAGTCCGATTTTATTATTTTATCGCGCTATAGTGTGAGATCATGTTTATAAGCGCGGCCCACGACGCGATGGGGAGAATCATCGGTTTCTAAAATTAGTATACGACCGCCGGTATAAAAACAGTGATGGTTTTCGAGACCCTGAGAACGAACGTTCTCCGACTGTTTGCATTCGCAGAGTTTACGTTCCGAGTATATCCTTCCGATTTCATTCCGAATATAACGCTTGGCTGAAATTTCAAGCTAAAATCTACGCGCAAAGAGATATTTGTTAAAAAAAATATATATATATTAATGGAAAAAAAAAAAATGTACTTTGGGAAAATAAATTCCGCTGCGTCAGGAAAGAATCCGTCTCAGAGACGAAATAATATAACGTGGCTCCCCGACAGACGATGGAACGCAGTTAAAGGCCGAAGGAATGAGCTTAATTACGCCGTCGTTAAAGATGACGGTTAAATGGGAGCGTTTGTTGCATTTTATAAAGGCAAAAATGTACGCGAGAAGAAAACCTGGACGGAATGCAGATAAGAAATCGTGCCGGAGAACACTGGTGGTCCTTTTACACAACGACGCGGCAAAAAGTCCAAGGGGGACAGAAACCTCACGATTAGAACTCCGACGAACGTGACGTTCAACTCGTCTCGAACGCGACTTCCGGACTCGAACCAGAATGGAATAAGATTAATAAGACTCTCTCTCTCTGTCTCTGTCTTGCTCTTTCTCCCTCGGGCCAGCACCTACACACGTGTGCAAAGTGTATATTTAACTGTGGCCTGAACGAATAAGCGAGTTCGCGTCGCACAAGTCGAGATATTAGGGACAGCTTGAAATATATTTGACGAAAGGGGACGCGAAAGAGAGATGAAACTAATCTGAACCACGTGTTCTCGTTCCTTTTTAACATTGCGTAAAATAAATCTTCCAAACGAGCAAAATATGTCAAAACAATTAAATGATTAAGCAAACACTATCACAAGGTGAAAAATGATACAATTCTTTGATCAAACTTGCCGTCTCCTTTTTAAATATTAAAAGACCAGTTTGAAAAAGTACCTGGTGATACGTAATTAATAATAATGAAGAGGCAAAACGCTTTCGCTGCACAAGTTGTTTTAATTCATGAGCTGCCGGATGTTGGCAAATTACGCTATGCATAACTAACCAAGTCGAATTATTATACCGCATCCTTGCCAGAGGAGCTCAACCCGCAGACTCCAGCTTCGCTTTTGCTTGCGAAAGCTCGGCTTCCCAAATTACATCCCGCAGCTTGCAATGATGATTCATCGCTCCTAAACGCGGGCGGGCGTGGGATATCGACTGCGTTCTGTTTAACGTCTCGTCAAACAGACCGAGAAACGCAAACGCCCAAACTTATCCGAGCGGTTGTATAAATGAGGTAACACTTTCGACAAAGTGTGTATTACGAGAGACATCAAATTCGAAATCGAGATTTATTACGCAAGCTAATAAAAAAAAATGTAACGAGCTAATCATTATAAATGCACACAGAGAGAATTTTCTCTTAAAATTTACCCTGAGAAACATGGTAAGAATTTTATAAGTTTCTCTGACTAAAATATTATCTGATTAATATTTACCACAATAAAAAAATATCTATACCACAATACTATGTACATATTAATATTTTTTTATTGTGATAAATATTAATCAGAGGAATTCTTATAAAATTCTTCCAATATACCATATTGTCCATGAAAATTCTCTCCGGGTACATAATAAATGTCAATTGAAATTGTCAATCTATATATACTGTATGATATTTAAAGAACAAAATTCTACGAGATTTTTGCACTCGTGCGATTTTGCGGGATCAAAGATTTATTCGATCATCACCGGCGAAAAGATGTACGAGAGTTCGCGCTCTTCGTTTCGATGAAACTTTTTCGGCGCAACGCGAATCGGAACGAAAGACGCCACTTCGGCGAAATCTAATACGATAAAGCAAATGTTTGTTAAAAGCGAAAGAGAAACGAGAGAGAGATCAGATACGATTCCCAGAAGAGCGATGATGATTGGCGGCGGACCAATAAAAGTATGCAGTTGCATCGAGGGAAGAGTTTGCAGAAACAGAGACGAAAGAATCCCACAATTTATTCGTATGCAAATAAAAATTAATTCGTCAATTTTTTCCTATTATGTCCATATGTAGGTATACATATCAAAAATACAGTCGATACCAGGAAATTACACCACGATCTAGATGCGCGATACTCGGAAAACGAGAAATATGGAGTAAGGGTTGATTGCAGAACGGGAGAGAACGAGTTATAAAATGCAATTAGGTCGCATTACGCGAGAATGACGTGACGAGGCGCGGGACGAGAATGAAATTTAATTAAGAGAACCGAACTTTGTTCCGTCGCGGTCCAGCGCGACGATTAGCGGAGAGAAATGAGTCCTCCTCCGCGAGTGAAATTATATCGAAACCTGATTAGATCGCGAAATTAGACGAGCGAATCGACAAGCGAGAGAGGAGGATATATACACGCGAGACCGGAGGAAACGAATCGCGATTGCGACAGGACGGGTGTGGGATGAAAGTGGAATTAAACAAAACGGTGAACGAAGCGGTTTGCTAGCTCTGCTGTAACGCGACAGTGAGAAATCGGGTATTAAAGTGTATATATATATATATATATACACAGAAAGCAGATTATTTGGAATATATATTCGATATATTTCGAAACGGATTCTCCAACCCATAGTTAATAAAATCAAATTAATTAAATTGAAAATAGCATCACGCGACCGTGAGAAATCGAGTGAAATTGTATTAAAAGTAGAAAACAGATTATTTTCAGAGAGTAGATTCGATGTATAAAACCGAGGCTCCCGTTTAATAGAATCAAATTAATTATTGAAAATTTGTGTCAAAAATGAAAAAAAATTGTTTTTAAATAAATATTCGAAATAAAATAAAAATGTGAAATAAAATTAAAATTGATAAGTCTCAACTATTAAAGGTAATGCTATCAAAGTGCGCGATACACATTCGAAAACTTGAATTATAATTCATATATATTCCGTATGACAACGCGACGTCGCTAACGAAAAGATTGCCAAAAACTTTGAATGGCACTTGTTAGGATCTCTTTATATTTACATACGACGCGCGACCGACAACTTGTTGCTCTTAGCCAAGAACACAACAAAGTATCGTGTCAAAGATATCTATCGCGCCACTTTTTAATTATTAGAAAAAACGTCGATAATCACATATCGTGACTGTAGCCTCCAATTATTCGAGATTATATCAACTCGATACGGTTTAATTATCATTACGGTTTTTTCTTCATTGAAAAATGTGAACCAAAGATACCTCTACAAGTATGAATAGTTAGTGAAGTTTGGCGAGACTCACCTAACATTCGAAACGCTCCTCTGAATGTCCACATTGTTCCTCCTAGCGGCTTCCTCGAGAGTAACGACCTCCTGTTGGCGTCTCCTCTCCTCTTCGGGCGGGTGCAACGGGATGATGATGTAGTCTGGTTCCTTCTTCCTGGCGGTCGTCGACTGTAGCTCCTCCGGCGTTCTCGTCGTCGACTCGACGACCTTCTTCTGCGCCTCCGAACGCGGCACCTTCGTCCGGCCGCTGAACCTCAGCCTGGAAAATCTCTGCAGGAAGCCACCCAGGCCGCTCTTCTTCCTCTCCTCGTTCTTCATGACGGCGGAGGGCAGAGAAGATGAGGACGTCGAAGAGGACGTCGCGCAGGTCCTCGCGGGCTCCTTCTTCTTCTTGTTGATACCTAGCGCACGTTGCTCCTCGCTCTGACGTTTGTCGCGATCACTACCGCGATGATTCGTATCAACTGCCGCCACAGCCATCGCGGGCTCCCCACTACTGTGTTCACCGAATGAACACGGATGGTCGGGTGGGGACTCTGAGCCAACAACACCGCGGACACTGTGTCCCTTCTCCTCGTTCTCCTTCTCCTTCTCCTCGTCTTCCTTCTTCGCTGCGGCTTGCTCTTGCTTCTCGATCACGACTCTCCATAGACATTCGCCGGTGTCGCGATCGTCGTTCGAGCCAGAACTATGGGAACGCTCTTCGGGATCTCGGCTCGACGGCGCGTTCTCCTCCTCCGTTTGACTTTCGTCCTTCCGAGGATGTTGCTGAGAAAACTGTACCGTTCGTTCCGGGTTCAATTCACTGATAAACTTGTCCTTTTCAGACTCCTCTTCACGACTCAAAGACTCCTCGTCGATATAGGATACCGTGGTAGAATTTCCGAGGACACTTTCCAACTTTGTCACTGGGACGACCCTATCTTCCAAGCAGGACGCTCCTATGGGTTTGGTTTCCAAGCAGGGATAATCTACTTCGTCGTCTAGCAACCGCGTATTTAGCACGCTAGCATCGCCACAGGCCGAAAATGGACCCGAGTTTTTTTTTATCTGACCAAAGAACGAGTCATCTTGTTCCTTCAGTCTAGAATACGACGAGTCCTTGCTGATGCTCGTGTTAGAGCGCGTTACGTCGTTCAGTCTCAATTCCGAGGAACGTCCCGACACTCCAGCTTCCTCCAGTTCGTCGCACGCATCCATTCGATGAAATCCAGCTCGCGAGTTCTGCAACGCCTTGACGTAATCGGATTGTTGCGCCAGCTCGTAGCTGGCGTTGTTTATTAGTTTTCTTCCGGGAGAACCGGGTGCCTTATCGCGATCTTCGTCATTGCTCTTCATCTTTTTCTGAAAATTTCTCTCGTCTACCTCAAACTGCTGCGCCAGTTCGTAACTAGCATTGTTCTTCGCCTTTCGATATCGAGCTCGACCAGATGACGTTCGTTGGATCGTTTCCATCGCCAAAATGGCGGCGTTCGCCGCTTCGGAGGCGGCAGCCTCTTCTACTTCGCGTTTGAACTGCTTGATGGCCTCATCGAGATCGTTTTCCGTCACCATCGCCATATCCAACACGCAGTTGACGCGATCCTGGGTCTTGACCGTCGACATCGGCTTCGTTTGCTTATCGCTGCGTGTTTCCTCCTTCTCACAATGATCGCTCGCGCATTCGACCTTCGTTCGTTCTTCACTCTCCTTGTCTCGATTCTTGATGCTGCTGTCCATGAACGCGTTCTGGGCCGGCTGCGTTCTCACCGAGCTGATTAACGCGACCTTCGTTTTCGTTTCGTCGTTCTCCCGCAGAGTCACATTTTCTCGCGAACTCTTCAGGGTCGTCTCATCATCGGATGATGCGGCTTCCGCCATTTCGCGATCGTTGGTTCCGTCGTCGCAGGTAGCGGCGACTCCGCAGAGATTCAAATCCACCGGGACGCTGGCCACCCGCGTATAATTCTCGAAGAGAGAAGACGTCGACACGTAGGAAGTCGTCCTCGAGGTGCGAGGACGAAATGGCGAGGTGCTGTCGAAATCACGTGCTGACTCTTCGACACCGTCGAGCAGACTGGGCGCGCTCTGCGACTTGTCCGTGAATCTAAAATTAAAGCGCTCCTCGTGACTCCACCCTTGGTGCTGCTGCTGCTGGCGGTGGTGATGGTGATGATGATCGCGTTGATCATACTGCTGCTGTTGGTACTGCTGCGGCTGCTGCTGTTGCGATTGTTGATGATGGTGATGATGATGGTGATGATGATGATGATGATGCTCGGCGCCGCCGCCGGCTATATTTAACCTAGCTGTCTTTTGCCCGGACTTGAGCTCGAAAAGCGTGTCCCTCTTCGTTTCCACGCCAATCTCTCGCAGATCGATCGTGTTCCGGTAATCCAAGGATGTCGCGTACTTGCCGGACTCGCCGTACAGCAGTGATCGATCCTCGAAACCGATCGCTAACCGGGTATCCGTATTCGTTCGGTTTCGTTCGTACTCTTCGAAATTGTCTTCGTCATCCTCATCCTCCTCATCGTGATCTCTGTATTCCTCATCCTCGTGCCAAAAGTCTCTGTTTCGTGAAGACGAACACGATCGAAATATTGGTACAAGTAAAGTTGGGGAATTGCTATCTTAATTTATTCTATTTATTCGAATATGACAAAATATCGGGATTTAATACTTTTAATTGTATTTATTCAAAATTATGAATTTTTATGTATGAACTAAATTTAAAAAAATGTAATGATCAAACGATGATAATTTAACGATTCGATGATGCATTTGTGTTTCGAACGTTTCTAATATCAGCAGCAAAAGTCAAGGTGGTCTTCCTCAGGGTCGGAATTGCATTTAACTTGGCCGTAAAACTATCATCGTGCGGCGAACGTTGCCAAGAAAATTGTTCGACACGCGAATTCCTCGCACAAACTTATACGCGTACATTGTTTAACTTTTTTATTTTGAAATCGGAGCAGAGAAATCAAGAAGAAATCTCTCGACTGTGCATTTTCGAAATTTAAATTAGGAAAAAATAATATATATATATATATATATATATATATATATATATATAAACGTGACTATTTATCATTTTTTACAAATAGGTAAGTTATAAAGAAAATTGTATTATATTAATTACAGATAATTATATTCAATCGTTTTGCTCTTAAAAAATTTCAAGTTTTAAATCATCAGATTAAAATAAAAAGAGAAATTAACAAATAATAAAAACTTGTAATATGTAACAAATATTTCGTTAATAGAAAAATATAGATAAAATATCTGTTTCCAGTGTTTTTTCGAGATTTTCTCTCGAACACACAAAAATGCACTTACCGTCAGTCCTCGCAAACTGTTAATTCGGGAAACAATGCGTGATTACAATAGTTGTGTACCTCTATTCTAATGACGCGTGTGAAAATAGGCGAGTGTTAACGACGTGTGCATACAAGCCAAGAATAACAAACAAAAGCCTTCAGCCGCTGCAGTTGCGAATTGCAACGCAAGTGGTCGTATGTATATTAACTGCGTTACGTTTCGGAAATTGGTAGCACGTACGAACGAAAAAATTGTTCGGATAATGCGTAACATATCAAAAATTAAAAATTTCAAATTATTTTAATTGTATTCTTATTTAAACAGCTATTAAAAGTTAAGAATAATTTTCGATCAAAATAAATCGCAACATGTTTTCTCAAATTCAAATAGATGTCTTTCTGACATGTAAGATTTCTCGTTCAATATTCAGAGAGAATGAAACAGAGAAATAAAATCTTCCGGCATAAAAAGCATGAAACTCACCTTGAACGCTGTTTGCTCTTCCCGATTCTCGACAGATCCGCAGCACCTCTCTTCAGGTACAAAGGTGTGAAACCATTTGATATAGACGCTTGACCGAATCCCTCGTCCTTCTGACACGTATCCAAACTTTCGAAGCTACGATAGGGCCTGATCTTCGGAAAGTGGTCCGTCAATGTGGCAGGGAAACCATTCGGTAGCAGCGTACCGTAATCTTGTTCCAAGCTATCGGGCGAATCGTTCTCCGCATGAGAGGCGTTCGATCGGTTGGAGTATTCCAGAGAGTCGAAGCTGTAGCTGGAGGGTGACAGGGTGGCGCAAGTCCTCTCCAAAGACTCGAACTGCAATAACGAGCTCGACCTGGAGGAGGCGGTGGACCTGGATGATCTCGGCGAGGCCGGATAATCATCGTACGACGTCACGTGCTGATGATAATGATGATCGGCGCCATAATGATCACGACGACGTCGCTTTTTCGGCACCACCGAGTTGCACTCGCTGCCGCTACCGTCTAGCCGCTCATCTGTCGAAAGAAAAAATAGGAACGAGATGAGAATGACGGTGACGATAATGACGAGAGGCACGTGAGAACTTAACAGACGAGTAAAAGCGAGACGAGCGAACGTGAGTGGCCTAAACCTACTTTACTGTCGGAGATTCAGATCGCATGTGTTGTTTTTAATTCCGCGAATCTCACGTTAGGATATACATATATAAAGGAGGATGTTTGACGACCCACTTTGTAAAATCGCGTCACGGAAGTGAGTCCAATCTAATGGTCGCCACTTTCGTAACCCCATGCATACCTTCCGTCAGGAAGTTACGGTTTATTCATCCGGAAGCAGCACTAACAACGTTATGCGCGAAACGCCACGAGCTGGTTGATAATCGTCGCATGCGATCGATCGACGTCGATATAAAGGTGTCACGTTCAGATCGTGACCAGTCTCAATGTATATTAATAATATTCATTGAAATTTTATTTCGTATTAAATTCTTGTCGGAGATTAAAAGACTGACCCAAGTCATTTATCGTGCAAGTTTCTTTTACTTGAATTTATAAAGATTTATATTTCATTTCTTTATATTTAATGGATATAATTTTCATATTTTTATAAAATTTTCTTTTACAAATCATTATTCGTTAATAAAATTCGTTTCTACATTTAACTGTCTTGGAAATTTTAATTAATTTCCAAAGAGAGGGAATAATCTCTTTTAATCTCGACACTGAAGAGCAACGAGCACTCGTTTACATAGTTTGAGCCTTAGAATTTACGATGAAGAGAGTAGATAGGATATATATACCCTATGTATACATTACATTAATTCGAGATCAAGTGCAACACATTCCTCAGTAAACAATCCCAGAGGAAACATTACATCGGCAAAGCACGAAAGCCTGCGTGCGTGCTAGGAAATAACTTGTTGAATTTGTCATTTAATCGATTTTTAACATTTATATCCTTAAGAAAGATAGCTAGCAGAGATAAAAGGGAATCGACACAAGCTTTTATTCATTAATAAAGTTAAATTTACGACGTTGTATTTCCGACAACACGTTATTTAGCATAATTATGAAAGATAATTTATTCGTCCATTTTTAGCACCAATTTGCATCTGCGTTTTTTTTTTTTGCGGACATTAACTCGAAGCACACACGTTAAAAAGAGAAAGTAAGTGCCCCTGCAATGCTGCAACCACGTGAAGCAACGTGTTACAATGACTGCGCGCTCAAAGGCGCGAATCAAACAATAAGAATGATGGAATGATATTTAATTGTAATACAATTATATTGTACATATAATTCAGTTCTTTGAAATAAATATTTTACACATATATAATTTAGATTCAATTATGTTAATAATATCAATAAATACTAATATATGCATAGCTTAGTATACTCTAAAGCTAGATTTTTAGCAAAAGAAAGCTAAAGTTAAATTTTCGATTTCTTAATTAAAATGTCGATGCTGTAATAATCGTGTCAGATACGATCGAGTCTGTGGTATAATTCCCGTAATTCCCGTAATTCTCTAATAATACAAAATATAAGGTTGCTGAGAAGAGAAAGTAAAACAACTGTGACAGAACAATGTCTTATTCTTGCGATATTAGCTTAGGTAAAAAAAAAATTAGATTTTATAAGATAATCTTTTAGCGCACACCGCTATATAAATATTAATAAATATCAATCGCATCATCGCAGTAATGTATACATGCATTACGTATATATGCATGTATATGTATATTAATATATCTGTGTTAGTGATTAGAATTTTTATGTACCTGTGGATCTCTGCTTCGCCTTGATATGAATCACACTCTCGGTTTCCGAATCGGACCCCAGCCAATATGTCGTTCCACTGCGATCGGAATCGCTCTGAAGATCGTCGGACGTCTCCTCCAAAATTGTCTCCAGAAAATCTGTTTGTTGTACTAGCACCGTATCTGTAAGCAGCAATATTTCTATTTAATAATAATTTTACGTCAAAATTCAAGTTCAATAAAAGTATGAACTCTTAAATATAAATAACGTGCAGAATAAACACATAGATTTCAAAAATAAATATAAATATTTCCAAGTACTTTAATAAAAATTATTTCATAAATATTAAATTAATCTCCTCAGATATCTATTTTCCATTAAATAAAGATTTATTTTTCTATTTATTTATGTATCAATCATAGATTGTGTATACTGGATTTCATGTATGACACTTTCTGCGTGTATTATTTTATTGTTTCGTGCGAATTTTCAATCAAATAAACAAGATGAATTCGTCATTGGTGTCTTGTAATTTCGTCAAGAGTAACTGTCCTCTTACAAAAGCAACTTAGAATTCGTGACGGGAGCTCGTGACTCATTCGTTATCGAGAGAAATGTAACCATTATTGCATTAAAAGATAACATAACTGGAAGATCATTCACCTCTTGTTTTAACTTTCTCGGTCAAAGTTGGTTTAAGACATTTTTAGATTTACACACATGCTTTTCGAAAAGTGTCGTCACTTTTTAATAGGTATATAAAGTCTCTTCTTTCCTTAGAGTTTTAACAAATTGCATTTTCTTTTGAAACTTTTATATTAAATATTTATTAATATAATTCGTAGTTAAATTTATAAAATATCGTAAAATATTTCATTAAAAGAATATTGACAAAATATTTATAATCAAAATATTACAAATAAGATTAAATTAATCTTATTTTGAAAAAATAGATTTAAGCTTGATTTCTTAGAAAAATCCAGTGATGTTTAGGCCAGAAATCATCAGATAATGTTTGTGCTTATAGATAAACAATGTTAACGTTTCTAGATTACATATACAGTTACGAGATTATGCTTTGTCGTGAGAATTAAAATTTGCTCATTCTACAAACTTTTCAATAAAAAAAAATACTTGCGTGATCCAACATTTCCATTCATATCCTGTGTAAAGTATATAATACCTAACCGAATAGAGCATTTTTTTTTAAATTCTCACGACAAAGCATAGTTTCATAATTGTATTGACAAACTCTAGAAACGTAAACACATTTGTTCATAATGGCTCAGCTTCGTTCGAAGTCACTGACCATCGGAGAGATGTATTTGACAGTACGAGAGAAGCTTGTGGGTCTATATCCGTTATTCGCAAACCTCAGGTTGAAGAAGACCCGCGAGCAAAAAGATCGAGAAACTAGTTCCGCTACGGAGAGTGAATTGAAAATATCACGCGCGATGCACTTCAAGTAAAGTATTGTATACACGTGCACTCACACGAGCACTTGGACATCTGTGCAATGGCTAACGGTTCGCACATTGACCTAAACACGTCCTGCCTCCCTCTCTCCTTTTCCAGGGAATTCAGCAGACTCAATGAAAAAAATTCCCTGACTTTTTCAGATTTTCCAAGACCAGAAATTCATTTTTTTCCCTGACTTTTTAATATTATTTCTTCCAAATATATAATTTACATATATATATATATATAATAAATCAATTAAATGTTACATCATGAAATCCTTCATTATGTACGATAATCGAAACAAACATGTCACTATAAACTATTTAAATAATCACCTTTTTTATTTATATTGTATCAAATTTTTAGCTTGATCTCTATAAAACACATTGCAATAAAATAGCACGACGATGAAAATATAAATAAACGAACACACCAAGGAAAAGTTTATATTTATTTAATAAAAAATTTCCAATTATTGAGACAAATGTAGAATAGTATGAAAAAATCCAAATAAATAGTAAAATTTCCTGACTTTTCCCCTGACAATTCCAGATTTCTAAAATTCCCTGACAATGCCCGGTTTTCCAGATTTCCCTGACCGCTAGACGCCCTGTTTTCTGAATGATTTTATTCCACTGACGTCTGATAAGTATGAATTTGTTTCTAATTCAAGCCGAGAGAGTGAAACTGAGAAATAAGACGAAATATCGCGATAAAAATTACCGCGAATATAGAATGGGTTAACAATGGTCAATTGGCCGCTCTCGTGTAAAGTTTTGTATACGTTCCCGCCTTCTCCCGTCACGATGCGCGATGAATGATGGCGTGAACAGTTAGCCGTTCGCTGGGAACGGGATGTTGCATAGTTGCACGGTGCGGTGCAACGCTAGAATGCATTCTAAACCGCGAGCGAGCGCGCGTTCTCTCGCGGAAAAGTCACAGGCGCTCGCTCTTCTCTCTTATCTCCCTTCATCTTATTGAAATAGTTGCGTAATAAAATCGCGCTGCAACATTTGCATCGTGCGTTGCTCTCTCTCTCTTCTTTCCAGCTGATTTATACTTTTATACGATCAGAGAAACCAATCGGGAAAATCAACGCGGATTCCGAATTTCCGCTCCGTATTTTTTTCGCGGAGATTTCTAAAATAAGATATATACGTGAAAGTTTGTCGCGGATAATAATAAAAAAAAAAGATAGGAATAAATAGTTGAATAGATGCGCGGAGAACCGAGATGGAGAAGCTTTCCCTGCGAGAGGTCGCATATGTAACTTTCCACGCGAGTGGGCGACGATAATGCTATCAAAATAAACTTTGCACATCTGCATCGAGAATGCCTGAAATCGCGATCCCAGAGTGATTTGCAAGTCAGAGCGCGAGAGATTAATGAATGGAGCGCGAGAAGAGTATATAACGTATATTAATATGATAAAATTTACATTTGACATGTATGTTTTTTTGACGAGTCAAGTACATTTTATATCGACAATTTATCATGTTTAATTAATTATGTAATAATTGCTACATATTACGCATGGCGTAAAAATGTTGGTCTTGAAAAAATTATAAATATTGAGCAAAATACTTGAAAGATCAATCGAAGACATCTGCGAGTCATCTGCAATCGATTGTACGCGAATCCAAGATACACAAATAGCACGATCGGCACGCACTGAATCATTTGATCGCTCGACCGATCAATTAATCCCAATAATTATAGAGCTGGTTAGTTCGAGTGACGCAAGAAGCGTTCTTATGTATATGTCTGTGTACAAATGCACCTGATTTCCGTCACATCTTGAATCATCAGAGCAAGCGCATTCCTCAGAAATATTACATGTGCGCGCAAAGAATTGTACTCTGTTTACTATATATTAATCTCAATTAAATTAAATTAAATATAATTATTGAAAACTAAAATAGCAGTATAGAAGTAAATCGTAAAATTAATAAATTTTTTATTTTTTATTTCAACCAAACTGACTATATTATTTTGTTAAATCGTACACTACGATTTTCGACCATCGGTTTTGGTCCTTTTCATGAGTGGGCGATTTTCAAAGTAGGTCTATTAAATATTTTGTAATGTGACTAAATCCTAATATACTTAACACTTATAATAGGATTAAATCTTAACCGTAAAGATCTGAACATTGTGTAAAAGAAATAAAGCTTACAACACTTGAAAAGGGCCAAAACCTATGGTCGAAACGTACGATTTAACAAAATAATACACGGAGAGAATTTTCTTTTAGAATTTACCCTGAAAATCATCACAATAAAAAATATTAATATATACATAGTAGATATACATAGTGAATTATACATAATAAATTTTAGTATGTACATAGTAAAATTCATGGAACATATTTTATATTTTATTGTGGTCAATATTACTATTTTTATTGTGGTAAATATTAATCGGAAAAATTTTTATAAAATTCCTCATATTGTCCATGATTACCATGATTTTCGGAGTAAATTCTAAGAGAAAATTCTCTCTGTGTATAGTCAGTTTGATTGAAATAAAAAATAAAAAAATCTTATAAACTAAAATAGATTTCCGATGGAATTTACGCAAGAAGAGATGTTTTTGCTGCAAATTCGACACATCCGGTAATGGAGAGACCGAAACATTTGCTTTCCCCGCAAGTTCCAAATGCGACGTTAGACACGTCAATGAAAGAAGAGACGTCATTAAATGGAATTAAATGTCTCTAACCATGTGAGGCCGGATCTCGCCTCTCTCCTCTTCAGCGATTGCGAGAGCGGATCTCGCTGAAGCGCAATTTGTCTTGCACGAGTGCGGATGCACGCACCACGATGCAACGTTATGGCGGAGCCACCTGTTGCAGTCGTCTGCTGCCTGTTGCCTTTCCGTGACTAACGGACGAGAATAAACCGCGTCGGGACTTACATAAAAATAATCAGCTCGACTAGCCGATCTTTTCAAGAGCCTTTCAGCGGATATTAGCGATAGAGCGATGATGCATACGTGCCAGAACCCTCCAGAATGCCAAAGAGCTTCTCTTCAACTTTTATCTTTTTTATCTTTATCTCGAACTAAAATGTTTTTTTTCCCCTTCTCTAAATCCCAACTTCTTGAGTGCATCCGAGAATTACTTATTGTTAGTTTTATCTCTAAGGAGGAATTTTAAAATAATTTATTAAAGATGATTATATCATAATTGAATTATAATATGCGACGCATTGCGATCAATTATTTTTATTTTTGAGTAATATTTTTTTCTAATTTTAAGAATTAATTTCTGTCTTAGACGTGTCGAGAGACTTTCTTTATGCTAAACCAGTCTTTCGAAACAAATGATAGAGTAAACAGAGCGGATAATTTTTCTCGCGCAGATATACTCGACCGATCTTCTTACTCACTCTCCATTTCTCGCTTTGTTTGTTAGTCGATTGCTTACTAATCGATGATCGTGAATCGGATACGTTAATTCACGTGACATGAAACTCGAGCTATTAAGTTTCTCATGGCGAATCGATTAGTCATCGTTACTGTTGTCTAAACTAATTAAATACAACCTTAAAATTCGTCGAACAAAAAAATTCATACTTAATGTTTCGAACTCGTCGCAATCTTTTTTTAATAAATTTGGAGAACAAAATCTTCTTTCTTCAATTTTTATTAAAAGAAAACTTTGTTTAATTATTAAATTCATTAAAAAAGATTGCGACAAGTTCGAAACATTAAGTACGATTAAACAATCTATAGGGAATCTTGTTCGTCGATTGCCACGTGCATTTTCAAATCTAATTAATTTCCACGATCAAACCTTGATTCGAAGATACCCGATTGACATTTCTCGCACGTATTATATCAGAAAACAAAATGCATTATTTCCAACAATTTCCCGGAGCCATCTCAAAGCTGCCGCCGCCTCTTCTATTACGCTCTAGATATCAGCGACGAGGCTGATATCATTACCACGATTTCCAGCGGGTTTAGAAAATGGGGCGACTTTGCATACAGATCGTTTTTTAATAACACGTTGCTTTCTACTTGAACGTGAACGAGAGGAGCCGAAAAAAATGCGCGCGCGTTCTCAAACTTCTGCAAATGTGCTATTCATTTAATCGCAATTTATCATTGTCGTTTTATACCGATATTCATTTCAATTAAAACTTGACACACACTATACATTTCTTATAAAAGATATTTTATAATATAATAAATAATTTAGAAATGTATCTGCTATAATACATATAACAATTTTACAGATGTATATCTTATATATCAATACACTGAAAAAAATTATTAAATTATTCAAATAAATATTTATTTCAATACTCTTTTATACATCATTTATTTGAAACTAATAATATTGATTTGCCGTGAAAAAAATATATTTGTTTCAAACAAATGTATAAATGAAACTATTTACATAAATTTTTATTTGAATTCAATGATTTTTTTCAGTGTATATTATTTGCTATTCAAGACACTTTAGAATCAATTTAATCTTAAAAATAAATACAAGTATTATGAATATTATAACGCTTCCTTTCCCAAGCTCTGATACGTAATTTCGGACTGAAAGGGTCAATCGCTTAGTGTGAGTGACGACCTAGATCACTATAATCGCGTCTAGAATTGTGTCGAGAAGAACGATTTAACAGTAGTCCCGGTCTGTTGTTCTACACCCGCTCTCGAAATAGAGATTCACACGCGGTGAAACAGAAAAGGGAAAATCTTTTTTTTTTGCATCCAAACAAGATTCCACAAGAGATTATTTCTGTGCTTATCTAGACAAAGAATTATAAATAGTAAACTCTAATTATAGAAAACGATGACGAAACGATGACGAAAGAAACGAAAAACACATTAAGATAAAATCAAAATAAATTAGCTAAATAATATGTGTGTTAATTATATACCGGAAATAATTAAAACGTTGAATTACGCTTTAAGAGTAGACGCAAAGTCAGACGTGAACGTCACGAAGAAAGACAGGAAAACAACACAAGGAAAGAAGAGAGAACGCACGTGCGTGTGAAGAAAAATAACAGGAAGAAAGAGGGAACGTACGAACCATTAGCTCGTAGATCCTCAAAGTGTGTCGGTTGAAAGTGGGAATGATGTTGCAGCTGGAAACCGTAAGCCGGAAGCCAGGGATTCGGTCCGACCAGGTCCATGTCGGACTCGACGCAGTCGAAGGTCAAGGCCGCCGAGTCCGCTTCCTCCTCTTCGTCCGCGGCGACGCTCGTCGACGTCGACGTCGACGTCGTCGTCAGCGTCGCGGTCGAGTCGCTTTCACTCATCATCATCGCACGACGATGACGATTCCTCGCCTCGTCCACGATCGGTACCGACGATCGTTAGCAGCTCCGACGAACTGTAAACACCCTTTCCGCCTCTCCCTCATATCCCACCGCTACGAATGCAGCACCGGAAGCCGCGCCGTTTCTTTCCGGTCCGGGCAGGGAACGTTTTGATGCGATGCGGCGTCAGATTCGCCGTGATTTCGGCATCATCCAGATCCGGACGTCGAACCCCTCTTTCATTCCAACGTGCACACGAGCTGGCTGTAGACGACTAAAATTTAAATAAGACTCGGATTAGCTTCTCGAAACGAAGAGAGATTAAGGGGATGCTGACACTATCTGTTTCATCGACAAATATTATCTTTATTTAATTATTTGATTGTTAAGAAAACTGTAATTATTTAACTCTCTTGGTTCTTTTTAACATACATGTATAGTAGGAAATATACTTTAAGGATTTTTCATTCTGTATAGCCAATAAATAGTTAAATAAAAATAATATTTGTCGAAAACAGAGAGAAAGCAGGTGCTTTCGGAAAAATAAAACGACAAAGATTAAATCGATAAAAAGTGACTCAAAATTGATGAATCATTAATACGTGTTAATATATAGAAAGCAAGTTCCTTAATGACATTCTCTTTAAAGGACAATACTAAATTGATTAAATATCTATACGCATTCTTTAGATTTTTCAAACTTTCTCTTCTCTCAAATTCTGGTCTTTTCAAGATTTAAAGATCCACGACTCGAGATTCTCTCAATCATCCGCGAGACTCTTGGAGGATTTTAAAATTAGCTAAGATAAAGCTGAGATAAAAATATGTAAATTCATCTTAGATAAGATGAAGATGATTTTGTTTGAAATATATCTAGATAAAAGATAAAATTATATATGGCGATTCATCTAAATAATTCTCTAAATAATAATTTTTAAGACTGCTTATGTAAACACAGTTATAAAAAATGTGAATTATAAAAGGAATATAAAAATATAAGTATTCATATTTTAATTTCTAAATTTTTATCGCTCACTGCTCAAGTTTTAATTCAAATATTTTTGTGTGCTATGATTCTAAATCAAAATGATCTGAAAACTATCCTAGATAATTTAGTATGCAATACTTATTTTTATCCAAGCTACAGATATACATATTTTATTATCTATATGAAGATAAGATGACGCCAAAGTTTGATCTAGAAGATGATCTACGTAATTTTCTTGAGACAACAGCAAACACTGGTTGTGGAACTCTCAGGCTGGGAGGAATTTGCGATGGAATCCGTTCGCGATTCATCGGGAGGGATCGCGGGAGATCCTCGAGTGCTCCCTTGAAGGAAGGAGAGAGAAATACGGCCTGCATCTCTCCTTCGCTCCTAGGAATACGCCTTTTAACGAGCGTGAGTATATAGCCGCGGGGATTTACATGACACGGCGGCGAAGGGAATCCTTTACGCAGGTGGGAGTTACGTTTGTGTAATTGGATAAAGATCGCGCGGGTCGTCGCCCTTTCTCTCCCGTTTTCCCTCGCTCGTCCTTCTCTCTCGCGATTCCGCGCGAGCAGAAATGTTATTACCGCCGTATTTCTTTCGGACAGACCGAACAGGCTTCAGGCCTAAGGATGCATACGATGCGACAATGCGCTCTTGACAAGCTTCCAAAATAAATCGTCGTGAAGGCATGCTAAAGGAGGCTAAGAAAAGCACGAAACAGGAAAAGGAACAAGATCAGTTAAAAATGTAAAGTAAATAAATAAATAAAAATAAAATTAATTTAAATAAAAAAATAAAGAAATAAAATATAAAAAAAAGTTTAATACCCAATAATGATGTATCTTCTTCCGATAATACAATTTAAATTTTGCAACTTGCGTAGCTATATATATATATATATATAATGACGATTATAAAGAGCATAAAGATAATCGCTAAGCAACCGGCTTCTGACTTTTTAATCCGAGCGAGAAAAGAGACCAATCGGGCAACCGATGAATGCACTCCCCGATCGAGATAATCGCTATCGCCATTCACGCTTCGTGATAACGTCCTTGGGAATTTATTTCAAAGGCATAGAAAGTATCGCGATCGTGAAAGAGAACCGGAAAAAATGGGCGCTGATAAATGTCGTGTCCGAGAATATAAAGATCGCGCGATTTACATTTTTATTGCTCGCAAACTACGTCATATTCTATATTTTTCACGGATATTAATCGCAAGAATATTTCAACGCGCAGAATGTTTTGTCGCAGAATTTCTCACCTAGGGATTTGTACGATTAACAAGTCGTACATTAATCTTCTTTCAAGCATTGCTCACAATTTAATTAATCATTAATATTTCAGGCGGAATGTCGAATAAAAAAATGCAATGATGAAGTATCGATTGGATATCGATTTCTTGAATGTTTCTGGTTGCGATAAATCATGTAGCGGAAATAGCGGATCGCTGATCCAAAAATTGCATTTGCACTCTCTCGTTGCATTTTACACGTATCACTATGTATATATATTTCCAATGCACGTCCGACTACATGAGGACTTTCACTTTGCATGTCTTTTTCTATTACACCGCCAGAGTGACTCTTTAACTATTAAATATCCATTTTTTAAATCACTGTATAGAGATGCTTCGAAAAAATATATATAGACTTTTTTTTAAATATGCAAAAATAGCAGAAACACTTCAAGTTTCGAAAAATCAAGAATGCGTAGATTTTTAAGGAATATTTGAGAAATTAAAAAAAATTGTAAACAAAAAAAATATATAAAACCTTTTACACGAAGTTCAAGACACGAGGCGTCCGAAAACTTGAACCACAGAGTTCTCAAGGAGAGTCTTTATTCACTCCATCGTTTGCGATTCCGCAACGCGAAAGAACGGCACAAGGCGCGTAGCAAAACGACCGTGAAGAGAAACAAAACTCGAGAGAGATAGAGAGAAAGACAGATAGTTGTTATCCGGAGAACGTGGCAGAGAGAGAGAGAGAGAGACAGGACGCCGCGTAAATAGACACAATATCGTAAAGAGAGAGAGAAGAAGAAAACGAGATGGCACGTGAATGTGATGAGAAAAAGAGAGAATTACAAAGAGGACGACGCTGCAACGCGATGAAAGAGGACGCGAGAAGGCTACAATGCATACTTGAGAAAGAGAGAGAGAGAAAGAGAGAAGTGCGGCGGCGCGGATATCTACCTGTCAGCGTGCACACATTCCACTGATGCGCGTCGATGCTTGTCTCCTCGCCGACGTGCTTTCCTTTCCTCGCGCTCCCACGTCGTCAACCACACACTTGTCCACTTCTCTTTGTCGAAAGCGAATCGCTCCGTCGAGCGACGTCAAGCCGGTGACGTGCCGCGACGCGAGAACATGGCGCACTCACGGGTCGATCCACAGGTTCCTCGATCGAAGCGCACGCGGGGAAACGTCGTCGTCGTCGGCGAGAGAGAGAGAGATCGTCGCTTCCCGTGACTCGCGGCTCCTCCTCTTCTTCTGCTCGCGACGAAACGACTCCTCGAGACACCGGACCGGACCGAAGACGCGTCGCGATCGACTTTAGGCACCGCGGTGTAAATAATACTACGAGGAAAACGCGCTACTTTCGTCCGCGACCACGCCGGCCAATCCCCACCCGCGCCGCGCGACCACATGGTAGGAATCTCGACCAATCGGCCGGCGCGAAGTCGAGCGCAGCCGCGGTAGTACTGGGCGCGCCATCTATCGGCGCGATCCAGAGCTTCGCGTGATCGATCGCGTTCGAGAGTGAATCATTCTCGAGTCGCGCTTAATTTTAAATTTCCAAAATTTTTTTTGACATTTCTCCGCGAAGCTCGAACCTTCATGTCGCACAAATATAGAAGATTTAGAGACATTCTTTTAACACGTTATTTTAATTATTTTATAAATTATTTGAAAATATTCTCCGCTACTGCGTCCTTATGCCCTTCTATAGAACCAAAGAGACATTCTTTTTTTTTATTATTATTTTAATAAATTTATTATGCTAAAGATTTCATATGAAACTCTTGCAATACATAACATGTATTCACTTTGAATTTTCATTTTTTTAATATAAATTTTAAAATAATTTTAAATTACGAGTTAATATCGAAGCATATACGACATCCGATCGATAAGAGATAGAACGAACTCTTACGCAATACATAACATGTATACATTTTCTTTGAATTTCGCAAGTAATTAATATAATATTTTAAAATAATCGAGTTAAATACTGTGCTAGCATATCGCGAACGTTTTAAGAAAGATGATACATCATCCGATCGATCAAGAGATATGAAGAACGCGCGTAGAGAGAGAGAAAGAGAGAGAACTTGACCGCGTGGCCATGAGACATTGATGGTTGTGTATTCGGTGTCGGTGACCTAACTCGAGAAAAGAAACCAAATCGAAGCTCGGTTACGTATTCGTGCCATTCACCCGGATATATGCCGGAGTTGAATTTCAAGACTGTCGAATTTATCGAATCATCCTGACTCTTGGCGTCTTCATTTTTTGTCCTCCGGATTTTAGATAAATAAAGACACGCGTATCCTGTCACTCTCTGCAAATAATTCTTTTTTCAAACGAGAAATTTGTACGGGAAATTATTAGCGCGCGCACAATTATTATTGTATTTATCATTTATCGTAAATTAAAATATTAAAATATTAAAATATTATCTTAAAATATATCGCACGAATGCTTTTTCGTACCTTCAAAATTCTCAGGTCAACAACAAAAGAAAAAGACTCGCTCCAAGCATCTTTACCAGGAATTCTTCTCGACACTTATCGCCGCTTTGGAAAGCAACATTTCTCACCTCCGTCTCTGAAAATGTTTGTTTTTACAATGATATAATATTTACAATATACATAATTAAAATTTGTTGAGATAAAAATGAAAGAAATAAAACTTATATTTAAAAAAAAAATTAAATATACATATTATAATAAATACATTTTTTTGCATTTAAATTAGCATGTCTAAGTAGACCTTTTTAATCTCTTAATTTAATTTCAAGATACCATCTATAAATAAATAATAAAAAAAGAAAAGGACGAGATGATCCTCTCTCCTCGACATGTCCTCACCGTATTCATAATATTGCAGCGGTTCCGTCGACTCGTCCTCACATTCCTCGGTGCCTCTAATCCTTGCGACTTCCTCTTCGCGTCTCTCGCGTTCACCGACCTTACCTCCAGACGGCACGTAACCGGATCTCACCACGCGATTCCTGGACCCACTTCTGACGGCAGCTGCGACCTGGAAAACGCAGCAAGAATTTCGTCCTTCAACACTAACCGTAATCGTAGATCTCGCTGGGTTCCTCGTTCACCGTTTCTTCCTCGTTTTCGTCCTGCTCTTCGGATTCTTCATCCATATTTTCGTCATCAAGCTTGTCCTCGTCGCCCTCATCTTCCTCTTCTTCCTCGTCTTCCTCCCCTTCTTCGCCATCTTCATCTTCATTATCCTTTAAAGCTGAGCGATAAGATCCACCACTCTCGTCAAGTTTATTTCGAAATTGATGCCGTTTTGAACGACATTGTAATCGTTGCTGCGATACGCTTGCTTGATCCTGCGCGAATATTCTAAAAGACGACGTCCTGATGATAGCACAAAATTCTCATAAACTCTAGATTCTACATGTGGGACATATCCGTGAATGTTTTCGATAATTATAGTTGATGCAGACAATCTTGGAAAGTCCCAATCGAATGCATCACCGACAATACGAATGCGTGACAAAACTAAAATATTGATAAGAGAACAAACATAGCCTGAGCTTTGTCATTATCGATTGATAACGATGTGATTGAATGTAAGCGCGTTTAGTTCTATCATAGATAAATAATCGAATTGCAATCGTGAGCCACTCGAGATAGACTTCGTTAAATATATTTAACACACAAATTAAAATCAGTTTCTATATAATTACCTTACAACTTATTTTATAAATAAAATATTAAAATTATATATCATAATATTAAACATATTATATTACTAATATGTTGTCTAAAGAATATGTACCTTTTATATATAAATATGATATCGTTTCTTGTATTATATCATATTAAAATATTTAGTTGAACTTAAAGCAAGTTTTAATCAATGTAAAAAAATGACTTTCTATTTGATTTAAAAGAGTGAAATATTTTATATATTTATTTTATATATACTATGAATACATATTGTGAATATATATATATATATATATATATATATGCATTATATATATACATTTACAATATGTCTTATCAAACATCTAATATAAATTATTGCATCTGCTTCCAAACCTAAGCAGGGTTTTTTCTAGGTACGCTTTTGTCACAAAATCAGTGCGACATTGGTTTAAGTCTATATAGTCTTTAGTGGTGCATCCTGCCACAGGACATCTATAAGCATAATACAAATATGCTGTAATATGTGCTGCAATATATATTCTTATATCTAGCATTGTGTAAAAAAATGCACCTGGTATTTTTATTTTTGTAACATTGCAGTAAGGCTTTCTTTATCATACACATGACCACAGACTGTATTTCTCACTGGATTGGTCATCCTTGTTTTCGTAATTGGATCTATTACGTTTATTTCGCTACATGTCAATCGCAAATCTGCATCTGTATCGTCCAATTCATTATTCGCTGAATCTGCATTAGCTAAAAAATTTATTAAATGTATATATTGCACAAAAAATTTATGCCATTCTCAAGAAAAGAATACATCTCAAATATAAATTTTAAACTAGAATTTCTACTTTAACAATTACCTTGAAGTAATCCTTCAATCTGCTGATCATACTCCAATAACCTGCTACATTGCGATGAATCAACTTTGATATTAGATAAAGCTTCCTTATATTCCTATTGTAAACACAATGAATACTGTAAAATCTTATGAAACTGAAAATTCTGTTCAAATTAAAAGTCTGTCTTACATTTAGAATGTCTTCAACCTTTCTGGTTTCTGGGTCAAAAGCAAATTCCTGTTGCTGTCTGATCTCATTTGCAGCTGTTAATCTTTCAGATTCGTTGCAGCTTTCTTTTAAGACATCTCTCAACTGTCCCAATAATTTTGTCCTTTCTTCTTCATTAGCTGAAAATATATATATATTTTTTAATATCCTTGTAGGATAAAACACTATATCTGTTCTGGTTTTTATTATATTATATCTTCTACATTTAAATCGTGAAAATATAAAAGAGAAACCTGTAAAAATGCAAATACTGCATTGTTGTAAAAATGTAGAAAAAACTGTGTATATTAATATGTATTCCTAACCTTGCTAGAATCTTACCGTAATATTTTATAATATTAGTTGCCGTTTTCACAAAACAATCGTCAAGGGTCTCTATTATTTGCGTAGACTGTGCCATTTTATATGAAAATACTCTGATTGTTTGAAATATATCAACAATTGTCAAAATTTCTTCAGCACTTTTAACCGGTTACTATACAAACTGGCGCCATTTCATAAACTGTCCTGATTGGTGAGAATTTTTCGAGCGAAGCAATAGCGCGAAATTCAAATACCTATAAACTTGTATAATTAATCTGCGAATCTTTTATGTTGTAAACTATGTATATTTCATTTACAATTTATATTTTATTTGAATTTAAACCGATTTCAGTTGCTCTATATCCAACTTATTCATAAACGTATAAAAACCATATGCACAGAAAAATTGTTAACAATTTTCAAAACTATTCATCCAATACATTCATCCAATACAAAGTTAAGACATTTTATACATTAAAACCTTGATTGATTAATTTTTTTACGCATTATGCGTTTATGCAAATTGATTAGATATTCAGATATGAAAACTAAAAAATACAAAAACTCACTTCGAGTTGTGGGTCTTCAAAATATTTCGTCGATGACATACTTATTTAGAATTTCGCGCGAATAAAAGGAAGGGACTGTTGAGGCGGAGACTACATGAATCTATATCAGTTGATAAATCGAAGGTGGACTACCTGAAAAGTGAAAGTAGTTAGCCTTTGCCTTTCATTCTTTATTTGGCATTCATTAATCGTATTGGAGATCAGAGTAAATATATCCATCATGCGAGGCATAACGATTTTCTTCGTGCTCTCGGTAAGTCTCTCTTTCTCTCTCTCTCTTTCATCAATCTTTTATTCTTTTAAACTTCGAAAAATATGAATAATAAAGTAAGTAATTAAATATCTATGTATTCGATTAAAATCCATTTTATACAATTTTACACGAAAAATCAATATTTATAATATTATTTTATAATATATATGTACATATTATTTTACAACATATATATATATATATATAATTTTGTGATCATTTTCACAAGCCTTTATTATCTTATAATTTTATATAATTTAATTTAGATATTAATAACGAATTATTTAATAATATTGTACTCGTAATTAAATTTCTGTGATTTTCTTTAGATTTTTTAATGATTTGAATTGTCGTTATATCCATCGACCAATAGCGTAGCTCGAACTCGCCTCACGTGATTTCCTTCCCTCATAAATTCCCTCCTCTTCTTGCGTTTATGATTTTTATCTGTTTATCTGTGCCACTTTACGTATTGCTTGTCATTGCTTGTTTCCTCTTACTCCTGTTGCACTTGTTATATAAGTCATCGAAAGTTTACATTTATTTCATTCGCTGGATTAAGGTATCGATTTTAATCTGTGTTTCCTTAAACTTCATCTCGTTTTCTATCTACGGAGATTCAACGAGAAATTGAGTACGTATGCTTGTCATAATTGGTAACGATACTGATTCGTTTCTGTCGACATGTACGATTAGTCGTGTTCTTGAGAATTAAATTATTCGTTATAAATAGACTAATGAGATACAATTTAGTTAAAAGTAGCGATAAGCTTTTATCTTTGTGCAAATTGAGTTTCCCGCCATGATACGATATATTACGGATTATATAAGATTTTATCGTTGCATATATTTGACTTGTATACGTTACAGTTGTTTTATATTTTTATACAAGTATTTTAATCATGACGATGTTATCGAATATTAAATCATGGTAATTTAACCTTGTGTTTAATCTTGTAAATAAAAGGTGATTACATTTTCTTGTTGACATTCTATTGAATATATTATCTGTTTGAATTTTTTAAACTGCTATAGAATTATAATATATAACAACAATTTATTATTGATATATAATTGACTACTTATCCTTTGTGTCTAGATGTTAGCGAGAGTTTGTTTGCTGACAACAGCGAAGAAGAGTGCTTCATTTAATACAGTAAGAAATATCAGAGGCATTGCTGAGATGTCCAAGTTTGATCTTCCCGATCGTCTAAAGGGCAATGAGAAATCAGTCTGGTAAATAATGATATTATTTTAGCAAATAATTTCTTTTTGTAACAAATATGTAACATTATTGTATTGCATTTATTTGGTTAGGGTGGAATACATCCAGCTCGCTATGCAGTATAAGCCAAAGATCAATTTGGGCCAAGGATTTCCTGATGATCATGCACCAGAAAATGTAACCAATGCTTTGGCTGCTATTGCCAAAAGTGATAATCCACTTTTGCAACAATATACTAGAGGTTTTGTAAGTATTTATTTTTTTATATATTTTTAATGCAATTTATATATTTTTGTATATAAATTACAAATATAATATTACCAACATAATTATTACCAATATACAATAATTAGCAATGATGATAAAATTATCTCAATCCATTCTTATATTGTATAAATCTTATACTTTATTGATATAAATGTAAATATATTGCAGGGTCATCCAAGATTAGTAAATGCAATAGCCAAACTCTACTCCCAGCTTATTAATCGTGACTTAAATCCAAACAATGAAGTGTTAGTAACTTTTGGTGCTTACGAAGCATTGTATGCCACTTTACAAGGTCACACCAATCCTGGAGATGAATGGATCATTATTGAACCGTTCTTTGACTGTTACGTACCTATGGTGCAGAGTGCTGGAGGTGTTGTCAAATACATAGCACTAAAACCGGTAAAGATTTTAAATAATGCAAGCAAAAATGTAAACATATTGAAAATATATATGTACAATTTAATATTATTTGTTTCTCTGTTTTACAGAAAGTTACATCAGGTACGGTCACTTCTGGTGATTGGGTTTTTGATAAAAAAGAGTTGGAAAGTTTTTTCAATGACAAAACTAAAGGCATCATTATCAACACTCCACATAATCCAACAGGAAAAGTGTTTACATTGGACGAATTACAGTTTATTGCCAATCTGGCGAAAAAATGGAATACTCTTGTGGTTTCTGATGAAGTTTACGAACATATAGTTTATGAACCATATAAGCACATAAGAATTGGTAAGAAATTGTGCTATATAATTAATAGTACGAATATAAAATTTTGAATTTTGTTTAAAAAATAATTTTTTATTTTAATCAGCAACATTGCCCGATATGTATGAACGCACAATTACAATCGGATCGGCGGGCAAAACATTCAGCGTTACAGGGTGGAAAATAGGTTGGGCTTATGGACCAAAGAATTTATTGTATAATCTACAAGTGATACATCAAAACTCTGTGTACACCTGTAGTACACCGATTCAGGTAATTTCTTTAAAATAGAAACAATATTTTCTAATTGTACAGTTTAATTATATTTTTTAATAGAAAATTAAATTAATTATTCATTTTTATTTTTATTTAAGGAAGCGGTGGCTATTGGATTTGAATTGGAAATGGAACGCTTTACCCAACCGGATTGCTACTTCCGTAGTCTAGCAAAGGAACTGTTACCGAAACGTGATTACATGGCGAAATTTCTTCAGGAAATTGGCATGGTGCCGACGATACCCGAGGGTGGTTACTTTATGCTCGCCAACTGGTCCGCTTTGGAGAATAAAGTAAACCTGCAGGAAGAGACGGACGAAAACAAGGACTATAGGTTTACCAAATGGATGACGAAGAACATTGGTCTCCAAGGTATTCCCCCCTCGGCGTTTTACGGTCCCGAACACAAGCATCTAGTACAGGACTACGTTCGATATTGCTTCATAAAGGTAAGCCCTTTTATCGTAAAGGTAAGCGCTATAATTTTAATTAAGATGCGACAAACTTTTACACGTTTGTTAAATATTAATCGTTTTAACAGAAAGACGAAAATTTGAAGGCAGCTGCTGATATTTTGAAGGAATGGGTGTCTAAATAATCGAAATTGTATATTTGTTCATCATACTTATCTCGTGTTTTACATTGACTTAATATTTTATACATTGTTTAATATGACTAATTTATTAGCAATTAGAAAGATACAATAAGTGAGATTTGCAATTCTCGCAAAAGCATTATAACTCAAAAATCTTTTTTATCTTCGTCATATTGGTATATGTAAATATACTTAAATAATATTATGTATCTATTAGTTTTGTAAATTTTTATATAGTATACTTTTGCGCGATTTATGTATGACTCAGTGACGACTCAGTGATTTTATAACATCGAATAACAAAACAATGTTATTACCAAATTAATTTAGAGCAGAGTCTCCTTGAAGCCATTTTTTGGCATCTATTGTGTCAGTTCCGAATGTTTTACCGCATCTAGAAAGTAAAGATATTTTTGAAAAAAGATATATTTTTGATACTTACAGACCCTGGGATTATTGAATCCTTGAGATCCTTCTCTTTGGACTCGTACTTGAATCCTTTGATCATTGTATCCTTTAATCCTAATCTTTCGAATATTTAGACATCTTGACTAACATATCCTTGGATCCTTTGATTCTCATTTTTATATAATAATGCAATTGATTAATTAATGAAACTTGCCTGAATATTGCTCCGGGAATATGCCCGACATAATTCGGTATCATTCCCACATGTTTATGGTAAATTTCACTAGGGTGGATAAGTAACGGGGGATCGGGACAAGCAAAAATCTCGTATTTTATATTCTGTCCCATTAGATAACTTGCAAAATCGCACGATAAATTGTCAGACGATGAGACAATCGATTTTCCGAAATGTTTAGAACCGTGAGTCGCGTATCCTGTTGCCAAATGTTTTCCGAATTGTTTTTAAATTATGTCTTGTGCAAAACTAAAGTACAAATCTAGATGTTGAGTAAATCTCATAAATTTAAAAATTGAAATAATTTATATAGAATTTACAAATTATTGTTTTGACATATAAATCATATATAAATTATTTAAATTATATAAAATTATGTCGCACAAAAAAAGAGATATATAGATTACATTAAAATTACAATTATTTTGAATAATTAATAACTATAACGTGATCTCAATTAATTGGCTTACTTCTTGCGTTTTCACGAATGAAGGAATACCATGCGTCATTTTTGCTTTTCGAAAGTTTCATTTTATTCAATTATTAATAATTACGCAAATATCGTATTATTTTATAAGACTCGAAAGAATAGAATCGTAACCTGCAAATATTTAATTTGAAACATTTAATGATGGAAGAAATTTATAGGTAATTTATGAAAACAATTGAAATAACAACGCTTTACATTTATATCATAAAACTTCAAAGAAGTGTTTAAAACCAAATATTTTAATTAAAGTTTTAATTGAGAGGTAATGTCATTTCATGACAAATCATGTATGGCAATAATAAAAAATATTCATGATAATTGATATATAATTAGGCGATTGAAACAATATTGTTTTTACAAAAAACATCTTTTGAGATTATTTCCCAGGTAGCAAGCTGACGTCATTAAACGTCAAAGTGGCAAAGTGGCATCATTTTAACGTCGAATAACGTCATTTTGACGTTTAATGACGTCAGCTTGCTACCTGGGTTTAGCAAAATTGAGTATTCGTTATAATTTGTTAAGTTTTTACATATGTAAAATGAAGATGCACACGTTTTTTCGGAAATTTATGGTGAACTCGTCACTGCGCCATCCATTCAGGCTGCACGGTTAACACTGGTAATTTAAATTGGCTCTTAATCAGCTACAATAAAAATATTCGACATTAATAAGAATCTTGGATTTCAAGATTCTTTAATTTAAAACCAATTATTTTTATATGTATTATTTAGACGTCAAATGACGTATAAATATTTTCATATGTCATCACTTTTCTCTCTCACCAAACGTTCCTCCAAATTTCGCGGTTCGAACCGTCCGCTTTGTACGTCGATCGTTTTTTTCAATCGATTTAAATTCTCCTTAGCTCGTAATTGTTGCCGTTCGAAATCGGCAAGTCCTTCGGTCGCGAGCACCGTGTATCTCTGTCCGATTCTAGTGCTCAATCCTGGTATGAAACCTAAGCAATATACATATAGGATTTGAAAAAAAAACTTTCATTTGGTTTTAGTGATAATTTTACTGATATTCATATCAGTTTGTTTTGATGATGCAAGCGTCACAGTTACAAGAAACCGATAAGCACCCTCGTATCCTGGTATCATAGGGTGAACGAATACAGGATCGGTCCTCTTGACACGAATATTAACTACATTTATGTCATTCTTTGGTGGTCTCCATGCCTATATATTTATTATTAGGGAATAATATAAAATATGTCAAGTATAACTAAAATGTACTCGATTTCTTCAGCAAATTTTCGAAAACTTGTTAAACAGTTTTATCTTATTATCTTATCACGAGAACAGTATTATGCATTCATTCACCTTGCAATCATCAGTTGCACGATTCGATAAAATGAGCGTATTCGCATGGTCAACTGTAGGATCGAGCAGGAGTTTATGCGTGGTTTTTGCATATGTTGCACCATGTTTAAATCGATATTGCGGGCAATAACCAGTATATCTAAAAAGAATATTCGGACCATCTTTTTAAAGTTTCCAGGACAATTTATTCGACCCAATTATGTCAAATTTTTTTAATTCAATAATTTAATAAATTATTATTTCTTATAAATTTACTTTTTAAATATAAACGATAGGAAACTTATTATCGCTTTGTGAAGGTTAAAATTTTACCCTGGAATCAGATGAGGTTCTGCCGTAATTAATAATTCTGTTCCAACAGTCATTCTGTAAATTTGGCTCCTCCAAAAAAAAAAGAACAAAAACTGGTCAATTTTGAAGCAAAGTGTTAGTGTTTTCTATTTTTAATTAAATATATTTTCGCAATTAACTTATTAATTTAACTGGCATACTGCCAAACAATTGAAATTCAGATGTCTTTATTCTCATTGTCAGTCTCGGTTACTTCACTCGTTACGACTTTTGCTTTCGACGAATGAAGAATTGATGCGGGTGGAAAGAGATAATCGACCAACAAGGAAAGTATAGGGATGACGAGGAAAAAGAGAGAGAAAGAAGAGAGATTATTTGTGATAGAGTAGGGAGAGCATGCGTTACGTATTCAAACGGGAGAAGGTGTACGCGATTTAGGTTTCGCTTTCCAGTTTTCATGGGACCATCGTGACGGTCGCACGTTGGGTTTCATTTTCCGGAAGTGTTTCTCCTTTATAATTAAAAAAATATTTCATTATATTTAGCGCGCTCGCTCTTTTATAATTAAAAAAATGAATCTAAAAAGAGACGGAAAATAAGTTGGTTTGATTAGATAAAGACGCGATTGAAATAAGCGAGTGTAATTCAATCTCAGATAATTACAAATCACAGAGATAAAGGTGGAAAATTGATATGCAACCTTAAGATAAAGTGTTTTAATTATCGAAAGACCGTTGGAAGAACGTTAGTGATGCGGAATAATTTTAACATGAATATTTGTGAAGTGTAAAATGTGACACGAGTGTTTTTCTTATTGCGTTTTTTTTAACGTAAAAATTCATAAATCGTATAATTGAAACGCGTCAATGAATTATTTGGAGGCGAAAACTATGCGGTTTCGTCGAGAAAGGAATTCCATCTTTTACGTTGAATCTGACTGCGAACCCGCAAAATTAACCCAAGACAAGGTAAACGACTTACTTATGCTTAAACGGTTAATGACATTAATCGACAGATTGCAATTATGTTCCTCAATATTATTGCTAACAATATTGACATTTGTTTTAACCAATTAAGTCTTCCTTTTTAATTAATTATTCGACAACTTAATTAATTACTCGACTACAAATAAGTTTTCGAAAATTAGGTATTTATATATTAAAAGAAATAAATAGTAGAGAAGAACGAGGGAGAGAAAATAGTAGAAAAAATTATTATTAATTAAGCAGATGTATAATTTATGGAAAAGTGGAAATTCCACCCACATATACTTGCTTACGTGCAGAAGCGATGATAATAACGCGTAAAAGGAAAAGTGAAACTTGCGGTAATAATACTTAACGCCTGGCCACGTTTATGAATTCCCCAGATTTCGACAGCGAAGCGCAAGAGAGTGAAAATTTTATAAAGCTATTCTTAATACACACACACACACAAGATTGTTCCATTTTAATTTTACATATCTCATTTTGAATTTAGCATTAATTCTTGCATAATACGAAATTGCTTACATAACAAAAGAATTAAATAACAGTTTCGTTAATTGTGATTTGATATATTAATTATGTTTGCGTAGAAAGTTTGAAATTAAATAGGGTGTCCAGCGGTCAGGGAAATCTAGAAACCCATTGTCAGGAAATTTTATAAATCTGGAATTGTCGGGAAATTTTACTATTTATCTGGATTTTTTCACATTATTCTACATTTGTGTCAATGATTTGAAATTTTTTATTAAATAAATATAAACTTTTCCTTGACTCTCAACACGCTAATTTTCTGTGCTGTTAAAAATCGATTCGTTCATTTATATTTTCATCGTCGTTATTTTATTTCAATGTGTTTGACCGAGACAAAACTAAAAAAGTTGATATAATATAAATAAAAAAGGTGATTTAAATAGTTTATAGTGACATGTTTGTTTCGATTATCGTACATAATGCAAATTATATAATTGATTAAAATTTTTGTTTTTTAACTTCCGAACGTTTTCATTGTTGACAAAAATATCTGAAGGGTTTCATGATTTAACATTTAATTGATTTATCATATAGAAATATGCAAATTATATTTGGAAAAAATAATACTAAAAAATCGGGGAAAAAATAAATGTCTAGTCTTGGAAAATCTGAAAAAGTCAGGGCATTTTTTTCATTGAGTCTGCTAGATACCCTGATTAAGCACAAATCGCATCGTTTATCGAGGGTTAGAACCTGACCAGGTGCATACTATATACCAGGTGAACGAAACGTGTGCATGTGCGTTGTACGCGATGAAGGAATAATGAACATAATTTTCTCTCCTGTGCTTGCTCCGTTTTATAGTTTGCGTCCCCATAACCGGAAGTGGCGTTATCGCGCCAGTTACTCGCTGTCAGTGTGGGTGGACGACGTGTATAGCGAGAGAAATACACGATACAAAACACTCCGAATAATACAAAATAATCCAAGACTTTAACACTTTTAACCCGAAAGTCTGACGTGCGTTACTTCAAATTAAAATACATATACAAGATCAATATTACATGTGTATTATAAAGTCATATATTGTGAAAAAACGCATCTCTCACATATATTTGTAGAGTTTATATTTGATTAATTAAAATCGTAAACACAGTTTGGTTTTTAATTAGCAATTTAATTATTAAAAAGTTTCTTTTTGCATCGATGTTTGGACGTTTTCTCATTGCATTATTTACGATACATTAAAAGTTCTTAAATATACAAACATAAAAATATCGATGCCAGAAATATGCAGGGTGATCGTTACTTAATCAGATAATTAATTTATTTCGTCTGTCTCGAAATAATTCTCGCAATTAAAACTCGTCGCGAGCGAATCTATAAATATCGCGGTCGCAGCTGATTTAATTTTTAAACTCGCAAGTTTGTTTTTTCCCTGTCTTCTCTTTCCTCTAGTTGCCTCGTTATGTCTCAAATATGGATTTAAATACACGCGTCAAGTATTTTCAGACAATTAAAAAATAAAATTTTGAAAAAAAAAAATATATATTACTTTTCTGAATTATATATGAAATTAGATTAATCTAATTTGTATATTTATATTTATACACCGCGTTAATTTATTATCGAAAGATGCGAAACGGAAACTGCAAACGGAAATGGCTACAATGCGCACAAAAAATTGGTCGACACACGCGTTTCCCTGAATATCAATCGTTTTCGCCATGACTTTATAAATAAAATGACTTGGTTCTCCGGGCACGTGCCCCCTTCGATATAATAGAAAGGAAAGCATTCGATTGGCGCCCACTTTTATCACTATTTTCTACACGTTTTTAGTTTAATACCGCCATTTTTTCAGCAAAAAAAATCTCAGAAAAATTCACCATTTTTTTCATATCATCTCGACTAAAAACTTATATTTATAATCAATCCCTCTAATACAATTTTATAAGAATTGGATGTATCGTATATTTTTATTTAATAACGATAAAACTATAATGATTTATATATATAAATAATTACATATAATTATACATATAATCGTAAAATTATATGTGAAATATGTCCATTTTTATACATAATTATATAAATTTATATATAAATTATAAGAGCTCATGTAAATCTATATATGAAACATAAATAAATATATGAAGAAATACTCTTATATTTATTATATATATAAATTTATATAAAAAGCACTAGATCTAATTATGTATGGACATATTTCATATATAATTTTGCGAATGTATAATTTTATATATTTCTATATAATTGTATATTGTTATATATAAAAAATTGTTCCCGGGGTGTGAAAAATTTAACAAAGAAATTCGAAATCAAGCGAAATCTAGGGAGATACCCACGTGACGCAACATGGTGACACGTGCTTAAGACACGCGCTTAAGACACGCAGCATGAATCATCGCGTGCATCGCGTGTATCATTAAAAAAAAAAGGAAGAAAAAACAGGGGCTCTCTTCTAATTTCATCACTTGAATTTCGTTTCTCGAATATTAATGTCTCGATCGTATAGATTCAAACGGGTCGCAAACAATAAAATGCCGCGAATGCAATGCGAGTCACGCCGATCACGCGGATGCATCGAATGCATGTTCGGAAGACAAAGAAAGGAGTCGAAAGACACTCCGGGCCGTTGTTCGAGAATAGAAGGCGCGTGCATAAATTATACGCGACTATCTGCATAATTTATCTGTCGACGCATCGATCATTTCATCTTCAAAAACATGACAGTGAATTTTAATTCCATTCTTATCATCTATTTTCAATTCTATTTTATATAATTATATTAACTTTGTATGTAGATATTATATATGTATTTTGCATATAATTATATTATACATATATATACAATATAATTATAATGGATAATATAACATTTATTAATATCTCGTATATAATTATATAGATATTAAATATATAAAATTGAACTGAAAAAATATATGCATTTATTCTTATATACTTTTATTTTATATGTAATCTATTTTAATCGATAAACCATTTGCCACAAAAATAAAAATATATGAGAATAGATGCACATATATTTCAATTTTATTTTATATAATTATATTAATTTTGCATATACACAAATTATCAGATTTTTTAAAATATCTTTTATCCATATGAATTTATCGACCAAACTAGAGAGAATCTCATTCTTTAGTCAGACATGTAAATTTTGAGTTTTTATTCGCGAATCTTGAATTATAATCTTATTATATCTGAATGATGGAAACCTCAAGCAGAATGAAGGGGCAAATTTTTCAACGCCGCGGAAATCAATCTGTTTTTGAGGTAGAAGTCATTCCTGGCGACTTTCTCACAACGTGACCGCATTCCGCAAGGAATCCGCCATTCTGGCTATCAAAGATCCCGACGTATATCTCTCCAAACGTAAAATTAATTTTATATGCATTGAAAAATGGCAAAAAATGGCAAATTCCGCGAACGCGATAAAAACAATGATCGTGAAACTCGATCGTCTTTAGATTCCATCCGCAGTATTGTGCTTAGATGATTTTAAAATTAGCTAGATAAAGATGAGATAAAAATATATAAATTTATCTTAGATAAAATGAAGATGATTTTGTTTTAAATATATCTAGATAAAAGGTAAAATTATATGTTGATTCATCTCGATAATTTTATAGATGATAATTTTTAAGACTGCTTATTTAAACATATAAGACTGCTTATTAAAAAAATGTAAGTTATAAAAGGGATATAAAAATATATGTATTATTCATATTTTTATTTATAAATTTTTATCGCTCATTGCTTAAATTTTGCTATGTGCTATGATTCTAAACCAAAATTATCCGAAAACTATTCTAGATATTATAATTTAGTAAAGATAATATTTTTTTCATCTAACAATAAAGATGCAGATATAGATAATACATATTTGGATTATATCTATGTAAAGATAAAATGACGCAAAGTTTCATCTATATAATTTATAGATAACAGCAAACACTGTCCGTCCGAGATCTCGAAGAAAATCCTCGAATCGTAGAATTATAAGACGAGAGGATACTCTAGGAATCCAGTGATGATTAAGG